TCACAGCAGCAACAGAGACGGAAAACAAAGGAGCGGGGCCTGCGCGGCTGGGGGTAAATTCCACCTTCGCGGCAGGAGCCGGCGGCTGCGCACGCACCCACGGCTCACCCACGGCTCTCCCACCCTGGGAACGCTTCCACCCCGCAGATGAGACCCCCCGGCAGCGAGGACCCCCCGCCCACCCACCTCTCACCCCGCCAACAACTCAACAGCGACTCAACCGCGGCCCCGCCAACGCCGCCCACTTGGCTCCCTGCGCGCCCCTTCCTTGGCACCCGGCGCCCCAGCACAAGGCCACCAAGAGAGGGACAAGGAGAGGGCCAGAACACCCCGGCACGGCCAATCTGCACCCCTCAAGGACGGCTCCAAGGAAAGGGGGAAGAAAAGGCTCCAAGGAAAGGGGGGGAAAACCGGGCTCTGCAGCCCCATGGCCCTGCCAGCCTCCTTTACATCCATCACAGCCGAGGGGCAGCAGGCACCCCGGGGTGGCCAGTTTGGGGGGGATGCTGTAGCCCCACACCCCCGGGCAGGGCCCTGAGCCGCCCAGCTCCGCCACCGACCTGCGGCGTGACCTTGAGTGAGTCATTTCACCAAGCCGGCTCCCGGCTTGTTTGGGCTGCGAGGCTGCGGCGTGGGACCTCCCTGAGCCCGGCGCTGCTCAGGGTGACGGTACCCGCCCCGGGCGCCACCCTCAGCGCTCCCAGCCCTGCTGGAGGTGAAACCTCAGCGAGGCACCAACGCCAAAGCTTTTGGGAGGGGAAGCAAAGCGAGGCCGCAGATGTCCTCTCCCCCACCCCACCCCACCCCCCGCCTTTGTCTCCATCCTGCCCCGGCATCCAGCCCCTCACCTGAGTTTCAGTTAAGCTTTCCAGAGCTTGCATCACCGACTGTTCTGGCCTGGACGCCTGGGACTGGAAAAAAAAGGAGGAGGGGGGGGATTAACGTTACAAATGCAGAGAAGGAGGGGGCGTCCGCAGCGGGAGGGAGGGATGACATGTCACTTCCACTATTTCTACACAAGCCCTGAGAAAGGAGTGAAATACTAAACCTGCTGCCGTGCCCAACCCAGCGCTGCCTCCTCAGCGGGAGCTGGGGCAGCAGAGCCGCGGGGCTGCCAGCACATCACATCCTCATCCTCATCCTTGCCCGGGGCTTTAATAATAGACAGGGACGAGTGGGAGGGATGGAGGGAGCAGCAGGAAAAGGCCACTCACCATCAAGCCGGCCTCCACGGTGGGCACCAGTGTCAGCTTGCTGCCTTCCACGACTCCCAGGTCCTGCAGTTTGCCAGAGCTGAGGCGGCTGCGGGGGGGAGATGCCAAAAGCGGGGTCAGTGCAGGTCGGGCAGCACCCCCAGAGGGTACACACGAGGGGGGAACACCAGCTGCAGGTCTGGCTGCTCCAGGTGGACCCACCCCCACCCAAGCACCCCTACCCCAACAATTCCATGCCTTGACAGGCAGGAGGGGACCCTGGCACCCCACTGCTCGCCTGGCCCCCGAGGAGAGGTCACAGTGTGGAGCAGCCTTGCCCTGGGCAAGGGGCAATGCTCAGGGGGACAGAGAGGAGCCGGGCTGCGGCAGGGGGGAGGAGAGGGCTCGTAGCACAGGAAATCTGCCCACTGGGGGGGCGGTTAGAGAGAAGTTGGGACCAGCGTAGGTGGGGAAGGCAGCACCCYGTGGGTGCCGGCAGATGGATGTGGTGTCCCCGCGTGTCCCCCCCTCTCCCTTCCTCCCCGATCCGGGAAAGACTCTGCAAGTTACTCGCGGCCCGGCCCCACGCGGGCCCCGCTCCACGCGGGGGGTTCGCAGCCCCTCGGCCCGGGCCCCCGGCAGACAAAGGCCCCCCCGCCGCCCCCGGCGCTGGGGGCTCAGGGGGGGCCGGGCCGCGCCGCCGCCGGGGCTGAGCCCAGAACAAAGGGCCGGGGCACGGCCGGGCCCCGCCGCCCACAAAGGAGCCCCGGCAGGGCCGGGCGAGGGGGCGGCGGCCGCGCTCCCGG